GTGGTCCAAAACACAGAGCTTGCGAAGGTTAAAGGGAGCATTGGTAGCCGTTTGAGAAAAAGGGAATCGAGGACAAGCTAAAATGGGTCGGCTGTTACGCAGCCTGTTCATAGATCACTGTGTAAAATGGAAACCAGCATGATAAACTGTCAGAGGGGATTTAACATCATCAAAACGATCGGTGCATTTCGCCGGCTTGTAAGACAAGATCACATGAATAGAGGCCATGGGCACAAAAGTAGTCGACAGCTATTTTAGCCCGCGAATGATGTGGCGGTGCACTCTTCGACCTCAGGCTACGTGCCGAAGGGCACTCGGTTGATCTGACCGTTGCTGCCTACAAAGAGCGGCGTGTCTCGTTTCTCCATCGCAAATGCTTGACCGTATTGAAGGAACTGTAAGAGCCGGTAATTCGTGCTGTGATTTTTAGCAAAGATTTTTAGTCATGTGCAAGATATTGTGTGGTCTTGCGAGAAAGCAAAATATGCTGAGCGGGACATGTTGATTGCTTTGCTAGCTGATAAATGCAAACAATTGGCATTCATTGGTGAAAGTGGGTAGTCCAACAAATGATGAGGCAGAACTTTTCACGGCAGTTGTCTGCATAATTAGCACTGGTCATTCAAGGCTTTCATAGCTTTGCCCACTGTCATTTAATCAAGTACTGGTATCCAGTGGATTGTAGAATAGCAGCAGATCACGGGAACAACTAAAAGCACGCGCCCAAAATTGCAGGAGAAAACTAAAATGCTGGACGAATTGCTGGAGCTTGAAATTGCATACAGCATTCTGAAAACTGACAATGATGCTGACCGGAAACGGGATCCAATCGATGTTCATTATGAAAAACTCCATGCGCAGCTCGAGGTTACTTTACTGTTCGTGTTGGATTCCAGGACTCTTCTGTTCCATCCACTATAAGCTGTAAGCCTTAGAACATAGAAGATACTTCATACAACGCAGGCAGTGACTCTTCTATTCAACGCTGACCCCAAGCAGTGACTTTTTTTGAAGTCCACACTGTGTCTAAATCTGCAGTATACTTCTTTTTTTACATTCATACAACAGAAGCCGCATTCTAATAGCATTCATGAGAGGAATGTCAGATCAGCGGACTGAGTGTAAACAGTTTTTTTGAAAACCGAGTGTTTTTTCGCGTTTCTTTGCTGATATCAGTCGTTTAGGTGGTGGATGAAAAATCGGATGAATGGAAGCTTATCCAGAAATACGTTGCAAATACTCATGCACCAACGCATACGCTTTATAAGCTTGAAGTTGTTGATGTAAGTATTTGTTCATGTTCTTTTTGTTTTTTCATTACTTGCGAAATTAATATCGGAAGCTGAGCACATTTAAGAACCAGAAAGAATGGATATGATGGGATCTTGTCTG